GGAGCCAGATAATAATGAAATGCCGGTGTCAGACAGGAGTTGAGGGGAAAGAATTGGGACTGTGGAACGGAGGGCTAATAATAGCAGCTGAAACTGTGCTATTCCCACCACTGACTTGGAAGCCATCATCACACTTCTACACGTACAGACACACACACACACACACACACACACAGACACACACAGAGGCTCGTGCAGACACACAACGACTTGGCACAGAGTTTGAACAGTAACCTGATCAAGCCACCGCAGAAACCAAAGCAATCAGAAATCAAAGCAAATCCAGCATGCGTACAGTATGTGCGCGTGAGTGCATGTGTAGAACAAATGTCAATGCACGAGGATGTGTGTGTGCGTGTGTGTGTGTGTATGTGTGTGTGTAGGGTGGAGGGCTAGTGAGCCAAAGATAAATGGAAGCAGAGTTTGGTGGAAACCACTTTTCCCTCAATAAAGTGAGTGAGCGCATGTCTCTAATGCGCCCTACCAGAGAGGATAGAGGGCCTTTCATTCAGCATGAGGAGATCTGTCTCTACTCCTCCAGCCCCTCGTTTCCCCCCCCGTCTTCACTCCCAGGGAGCATCTGAAGCCGATTCTCTTGCCTCTGCTCCCCTCTCCATCACCCGCAAATATAACAAAATCTTTCTTCCCCAACAAGACAAAAGGCTTTTTGCTCTTAATTGTGCCCAGCTGTCACGGAGACGAAAGAGGTGAGGAGATTGGGAAAGGAGAGAATTGAAGGAAAAAGGAGTGTGGAGAAGTGGCGAAGAGGAGTGAGGCAGGGAAGAAGAAGCTAAGGCGAGAGAGAGAGAGAAAAAAAAGGAAGAAATGAAAGATGTGTTTGTTCAGTACCACAGGCTGACACATCTCTCTTATCTCTTGCCCAGCAAAACCATATGCCCCTCGGCTACAGTGGGAGGGCGGGAGGACAGAAAGATGAGGTGTAAGTGCGTGAGGAGGGAGCGGGGCCAGTGAGTTGTGAGCTTATAATATGTCTTTGCAGGATACTAAGAATAATAAAAGGGGTGCACGCCATGCATAATGTACGCGCGAGTTATTCAAGGTCAGCCAGGAATTCAGAGAAAAATATTTTTAAAAAAAGGAGGCGAGAAATGAAAGGACGAAGAGGGGACGCGGAACAGATACGCGGCGAGGCACCGACTTGAACCAAGGGGGGGCGGGCCGGGGCCCCCGCCCCCCCCCCGCGCCCCCCCCCCCCCCCCCCCGCATCTCCTCAGCTGCCCGTTGACCACACACGCCGCCTGGCACGACGTGGACGCCAGCGCCACACGACACAGAAGCATCATCAAAGCCTCAGACACCCCAGCAGCAGGAGCCATCAGGCTGGCTGCAAGAGAGGAGGCAAAAAAAAAAAACCCAAAAAACGCAATCATTTAGATGATACAGAGGGCTCTTCACTCCTTGGAAACAAAAGTGGACACAAATTGAGAATGTCAAACACTGCTACTGTATTCTGGAAGAGTTCCTGTGCTTAGCTCCCTGAATATAGCCAGAACCAGCAGCTCGCCAAGACATTTGCATACAGTTAGAGGTTTGATGCGTTAAGTAGAATAGGGAGTTTTATGTACAAATCAGTATCCTGACTGACTGGCCCCACATGTTCAACTCTCTCTGAACCACACGTCCGATCGGCCCCTGTTTATTGACTGAAAACCGATACCTTTAAGGGCTTCATTCATGCTACATTACAAGAGTTAAACTCAATAGCTCAGGCGTCGTGGTTGGGTCGTTCACCTCCTTGCCCTGGGTGATTTTTACATGTTGGATGTCGGCTCCGTGGGTGTTTCCCCTTCACAGAAGACACTGTGTTTCTCAACACTGCTGCTCGGAAAAGTTTATCAGCAACGCCTCCAGTTATAAGTGCCCAGAGGGGCGGTGGAGGGACCGGTTTTTATTTTATTCGGTGCGAGTTTTACGCACTTTTAATAAGGGCATAAATGTATGCGTGTGGGGTTTTTTTATCTGCTAGATTCCGTTGTGTGAGTTCACATTACCGGGGCACCATTAAACGTAAACTCCTGGAAAGTACTCCGCTCACAGGAATAGATTCAAGTGTGTGTTCGCATGCATGTGAGCGGCTATCTGCAGCTCATGGGGAGGATTTACAGCGCGCCCCCCCGAGTACACCTCCAACCCATCTCACGCACGTACATAAACAAGCACAAACACACACTCGCTGCGGAAGGTGCGCTCTTTATCACTCTGACATTTCCATTTTACCCACAGTCCAAGAGCTCTTAGATTCACATCCATGCTTCCTGTGCCCCATGCTGAGATACAATACCAGCCACTTAACATTTAGCAAAAGCAGAACTGTCCCATATTGCTCCACTTCCCACTGCTTTCCATGGGAAAGTTGTTATTTATCTCCTATTTAGAGGAAAGAGTTATGAAGGGAACACGGGTTTGAAGTCAAGACACAAAAGAGGTGCAGGGTTACTGCTTTTTTTATGGGGGCACATGGAGGCACCAACTGTGTCCTCCATCAGCTGGTGGATGCAGATTATGAAAGGAAGATTATACCAAAACCCTAAGGTTGATACAGTTCTCTCCTTTGCTAATTAACAATTAATCGGTTCAGTACAAGGTTATCTATTACAAGTTGTTTTCCCAAGGTTTGCATTTTAGGAACATACTAATTGTATGGGATTAATGATGTTTTTTTAGGAGATATATAGTAACACTGATGTCACTAACTAGTTACTGCTGGGTGGTATCAGCACAATCCTCCAGTGAAGCGGCTCAACTACTTCTTTGGTTGGAGGCCAACGTTATGGA